TTTTCTGTGGGTTGAGCACTAAGCTATTACTGTTGCACCATGCGACAAGATGCTCAACTTCCTGTCTATATGCCGACTCGTCACCGTTCTTAATAAGTCCAATGACCGTCGTATCATCTGCAAACTTTAGAATCTTAACAGAGGGATTCCTAGAAATACAATCATTCGTATATAAGGAGAAAAGCAATGGGGAAAGTACACACCCTTGGGGGGCTCCTATACTAATTGTGCGGATATCGGATGTTATTTTCCCCAGTCTCACTTGCTGTTTCCTATTTATCAGAAAGCTATGTATCCATTTACAAACAGAGATGGGTACCTTTAGTTGAATCAATTTAAGATACAATTTAGATGGTACAATTGTATTAAACGCGGAACTGAAGTCGACAAAAAGAACCCGTGCATAAGACCCTGAGGAATCCAGATGTTGTAGGATATAGTGCATAGCCATATTGACAGCATCATCTGCTGATCTGTTGGGCCGATATGCAAACTGAAGAGGGTCTAACAAAGGATCAGTGATGTCCTTCAAATGGGTCAGCACCAATCTCTCAAAGACTTTCATCACTACAGATGTTAAGGCGATGGGTCTGTAGTCGTTCAGTCCGCTAATAGAAGCTTTCTTAGGTACTGGGACAATGGTGGAAGTTTTAAGACATATGTGACCTACCATACAGAATCTGAACAAATGCATATGTTTTTATATAGAACTGAAACACCCATTTGAAGAAGTGGTTGCACAGTTATACAAATTTTCAAACAAGTAGACAGGAAGGAAGCACCACTCACTGTAGATGAAGGAAACACCAATCAAAAACATGTAGGGAAAAATACCACTCTAAAACTACAAGGATAATTTGCCTGCTAGAGGTTTCCTTTATAAAGTTGTCTAGAAGTGTTTTAGTGGTAGCTTGTGGGAAACTGCTATAAAAGAAAAGGCACTAAGTCTTAGTTGTGGTGGAAAAATGCTTTATCATTCTTCACTAGGTCTTTGTATTGTAAGTTGTGTCACAGTTGAATCAACTGCCCAAGTGTTCTCTAGTCTTCAAGGTCACCTTTCAAAAATATTTATTTTGTGCAAAGAGCAAGACAAGGAAGTCTGTTTGCTTCAAAACTATTTTATCTCCTTCTGGTTGACCTACCCAAGGTAGTTCATACAATTAATACTCACTCTTTGAAACTACCTCATCAGAAAACCTTTGTCCTTGTTTATGAAGGCAATTTTGCACTATAAGCTCCATCCAGGACTCCCCTGAAATGATTGCTAGCTGGTTTGACAAAATGTGATAAATGTAACAGTTTAAACCCAAATTTCTAGTATTTTGAAGACATCAGGACAAAGAGAAGTGGCAATTACAGGAACAGCCCACTGAACAAGTTGAATCGTATAAATATTAATAGAATTATTTTCACAATTCAACAAAGAGGGTGGCCCATAGAAATTTTTATATTTCTATGCTTTATATTCTATGTCTGCAAGCTATTGTTCACTTTTCTCTTTCCCAGGGTAGTATTTTTATATCTACTGTCATTCAGGTTTCAGTTAATGGACCACTCATTTGCTGCTCTCTACAGAGGCACTGCAGGCTACTTTTCTCAGTGGAATTTGGAGCTCTCCAAATTGCTGGGAATGTTTCAACATAAGTAAACCTACTACCTCATCACTTCCTTGATTAATCTGTCCTGTTCCTCTAAAATACTGTCTTTGTTCCATGCCAATTAATACCCTTATTTAACATTTACAGATACATTTATTTCTTCTTAGAAGAAAGCTATTTTATTAAAGATCTTCAGAGTTTTCCCTAGCATATAGTTATTCAAAACACACATGAAAAACCTGAGTTTAGAAAATGCCAGTCATGCAGATTGTAGTGAAATTCAATTTCATTCTCTAATACCAGTGAAAATGAATCTTTTAATGTGCACTTTAAATTGGATTTTTAAAAAAATAATTCCATAATAGAATGCTTGCTCTTTTCCTTAACAGGGACATTTCCTATTACATCAGATGCATTTCTACATGATTTCAATTTTGACAGGTTCATATATGTCACTTCCTTAATAGTAAAACTCTTGAATACTGTTAATAATAGATTTTTTTAATACTCGACAATTAGAATCATTCCCAGTATTCTGCACTATAAATTTTAACATTACCTGCTTGGTAACAGGATAGCTGGCATTGTTTAGTCTGTTGTAACAGAAATCTTGTAAACCTAATAACATTGTTTATGCCTTGTAGCTTTATTCAGAAGAAGTGACAAGATACTTACAGAAAATTTGGCTTTAGATAGAAACTATGAATAATCAGAATATGGTTGATTGCTGTGGAAGCTTCAGATAGATTCCTATTATGCAAAACTAATACCTACAGAGCTTTGACCTTTGTTACAATCTGACTTGACACCTGCTTCATAAAAAGGAGTATGCACTTGACAAATTATTACTTCTTTATGACTTCTGCAAATCAATTTCTAGCAAGGCATGTCCAACTCAGACTGAGTTTTTATTTTTTGCTGCAAGATTCCTCATTCAAGGAAGGAACATATAAATCTGTCACTCCAGACAAGTATTTGGAAAAGTTGTCCTTTGGATTACAATTTTCAGGATATGTTCAAGATTCCTCATTCATGGAAGGAATATGTAAATCTGTCACTCCAGACAAGTGTTTGGAAAAGTTGTCCTTTGGATTACAATTTTTAGGATATCTGCAAGTATCCTGAAGCTACATTCCAAAGTAGAGATGGGTATATTCATATTCATATAGGAATACAAATATCCCTGTTGCAGCTGGCCCTAATGAGGGTCCGGCTCCCAAGACCAGACCAACCTCTCACACGTTCCACTGCAGCAACAGTCCCGCTCATTCTGCCTATGGCGTCCAGATCTCTGCGGCCTTCCTGCTCGGCTGGCCACCCAGCAGCCATGCAGGGAGACTTGTCTTCCCAATTCCTGCCTGTGATGGCCAGCCAAGTAGGAAGAAAGCGGAGCTCTGGGAGCCATTGGCAGGATGAAAGGGACAGTCGTTGCAGCAGGACATGGGAGTGGACGGTCCAATCCCGGTGCCTGGACCCTCATTAGCGTCAGCTGCAACGGGGATAGTCGTATTCATATACGAATATCCTCATTTCCATTCAAAAGCCAGAGCCAATTGCTAGTCTCAACCAACTGCTGAATCAACACTTGTGCAAACCCCACTGATTCAACTGGATTACCAATTGGTGTGAGCCGCCAAAACACCATTTCCAAACTCTGGTCTATACACAGAGAGGTAAATAAGACATATGGCTCCTGTCCATACTGTCTACATAATTATGAGAAATGTAGTCCAAAAAAGTAACTTTTCCACAGTTTTTGCTGTTACTGTGTTTTCCTGATCCACACGAATATGCTCTGGAATAGGCACCAAACACACAGTTAGAAAGATATGAATGCTACCGCTGTCATTTCATATGTAGTGGGACAATTCCAATTCTTGAAACCAGTTCCAGATCTAAATCCTGAGGAAGCCTGCCAGATATTAAGCTCTGTATTCAGCACATGATCAAAGGCTCTATTCTTTCTGACTGTTCCTTTTCAAGTTTGCTTTGCAATGAGTCCTGGCAAAGAGCAATTTCTTTGCAGGACTTAACCACTGCTCAAATTAGAGAAAATGTGGCAAAAGCAACTCACTCACTCACTCACTCACTCACTCACTCACTCACTCACTCACTCACTCACTCACTCACTCACTCACTCACTCTATCTATCTATCTATGCCACCCACTCTACCCAAAGGTCTCTGGGCGACTTACAACTATTCTTATTCTTATTCTTATTCTTAGGACTATAGAGGCTATGGTGTCCAGAGGGGTTTGGGAACCTATAGGCCAAACAAACAACTTTCAAAATCTAGAAATGAGGAAATGAGGCTGAAGCTCTCTCACTATGACTCATGCTCAGATTCACTAAAGCAGGAAAATGAAATGTTATTCAAAACTTAAAATGTTTTACAACCCTGAGAATAAAACATGGCCACCCCATAAAAACAAAGTCAACTAGCCCAAACTCTTGATTCAAGTCAGTTAGCTATACATTATCTTTTCCAAGGACGAAAATCTCAAAATGTCTTAATGAATCCCTAACAAGCCATGATGGGGATGTATAATCCCCAGGCTTAAAAGGAAGGTACCTCCAATTGCCAGAGGAAGCGGAGGGGTATCAGGAGATAGGTATCTAGTTGTCTTGAGTGCTCCCAGAGGCATCTGGAGGGGCCACTGTGAGATACAGGAAGCTGGACTAGATGGGCCCTTGGCAGGGCTCTTATGAATGCAAGCATGACCTCCTTCAGTATCAGGTAGTTCTGTCATTTCCTCCAACATAATTAACATAATCAAAGCCTAAAGCACTTACCGGAAAACCATCTGCAGGCACTTCAGTTTCATCTTGTGATGTCAGGCAACCTGTAGAAGAATAAGACAAATGAAAAGAGAGGTTACTTACCTGTAACTCTGGTTCTTCGAGTGGTCATCTGCGAAGTCACACTAATGGGTTTCAGTGCACTTGCATAAAGAATCTTAGAATATCCTAGAGCTTAAAATGCATGTTGCTAGGACTTCCCTCACATCGCCCTTGGTTCCACCCATGGCACCAAGTGCCTCAGTTCTGAAGAACAGCCCGCCACTGCCCAGCTATGCAAAAAGGCATACATGACAGAGGGGAGGATGGGTGGGAAGTTTGAATTCACAGATGACCACTTGAAGAACCAGAGTTACAGGCAAGTAACCTCTACTTCTTCTTTGTGGTCCCTGTGAATGCACACTAATGGGTCACTAGCAGCTGACTTTCCAGGAGGCGAGATATCATGATAAAGCAGAAGCCAGCACAGCAAGGCCAAAAGAGGCGTGAGCCTTAGCACGGACATCCAGCTGATAATGGGTTGCAAATGTAGATGGCACAGCCCAAGTGGTGGCTTTGCAAATGTCAGTCAGTTCCACACCTCTGAGGAATGTCGTAGAGGCTGCCACAGCTCTGGTTGCATGGGCCCTTACAGAATGTGGTAAATACATTTGAGCTAGCTGCTAGTCCATAAGCCAAACAAGTGGTGGAAACAATCCATTTGGAGATGGTATGACAGGTGACTTGGGAACCTCTGGATCAAATCTCTGGATCGACCATGACAGCTGAGGAAAAGCTTTTGAGACTTAGAAAAAAGCCGGAGCGTGAAACATAAGCCTGATCACGTCTAACATCTAATGAATGTAGAGAACAGATGAAGGTGAAGGGAAGAACATAGGTAGGAAAGTTGGCTGCCCCAGGTGAAAATTGGAAATCACCTTAGGAGGAATGTGAGGTCAGGATAGTGTGTGACTGAGTCAGGGTGAAACTGGAGGAAAGGTGGATCCATGAAACGGGCAGAGAATTCACTAGCTCTGTGGGCCGAGATGATCGCCACAAGGAAAACAGTCTTTAGAGTTGGCAGCTTTTCTGATAAAGTTGCCAAAAGCTCAAAAGATGGCCGCATAAGACGGCTGAGTACGAGCTGGAGAGACCACTGTGGAGTAGGAGTCTTATATGCAGAACGTATATTTTTAAGACCACGTAGGAACTGCTTAAGCGTGGGATGTCGAAAGAGAGATGTAGCTTCCGAACCTTGAGGCTGATGGGCTACTATTGCTGCAATATAAGCTTTCAAGGTGGAGTGTGGAAGGCCACGATGGAAAAGATGGAGGAGTAAATGGAGAATGACCTCCAGTGAAGTAGGAAGAGCAGGTAAGTGATGGGTAGATGCAAATGTGGTGAAAACCTTCCACTTATAGGTATAAAAAATGTCATGGAACACTTATATGCCTGATTCAATACTTCCATTACTGTGGGGGGATCCTTCATGCAGTGAGATGCAAATTGTGAGGGTCCGGGTTGAACATCGTGCCCTGGTTGAGGGTTAGCAGACGAGGAAACATTGGAAGGTGGAGGACGTCTATGGCTATGGCCCAAAGGGCTGGAAACCATGGTTGGCGAGGCCACCATGGAGTGGATCAAGATGGCGTTCAAACTGTCTTGGCAAAGTTTGATGACAGTTCTTTGCAAGAGTGGAATGGGTGGGAAGAGATATAGGAGGCTGACAGTCCAGTTGGTCATTAAGGTGTCTCCTACTGAGTGATGTCCGACTCCTGCTCGTGAGCAGTACTGATGGCATTTCTTGTTCGCTGAGGAAGCAAATACGTCCACCTGTGGGGTGCCCTAATGCTGGCACAGAAGGCAGAATACATTGTTGTTGAGAGGCCACTCATGACTGCAGGAGCGCAACCTGCTGAGGTAATCTGCCAGTGTGTTGTCCTCTGTTGAGATTTGCATCACCACAGGGAAAATGTGATGGGCGTAGCACCATTCCCATAGGTGTACTGTCAGGTATAGCAATGAGAGGGAGTGTGTCCCTCCTTGCTTGTTTATATAGAAGAGGGCTGTCATGCTGGTGGCAACCTGAGCTGCATGTCCTGTGATCAGTCCTTCAAAGGCCCAGAAGGCCTTGATGCCAAGAAACTCCAAGTGGCTGATACGAAACCTCACTTCCAAGTGGGTCCACAAGCCATGTATGGTAGCATTGTTGCAGTGGGTGCTCCAGCCCATGAGTATTTCCCCACCATGTCAATTGGGATGCCAACTCTTCCGATACATGAGCATCTTTGACAGAACATGAATCAATGGGTTGAAGAACGCAAGGTACCAAGCTTGTAACGACTGCATCTTTAGGCGAGCATGCTGGACGATTGCCGTTGTAGAACCCATAAGAGATGCTGGATCAGGTGAGCAGAGATGAGTGCACTCAGTAGGAAGAACTGAAGCATCGAACAAAGCTTCTTCCTTCTCTCCTCTGGTAGAAAAGCCTCAAACAGAGTCGAGGACTGCTCCTATGTAGGTGGACTTGCTGGGTTGGTCGGAGAGTGGATTTTGAATGACTGACTTTGATAATAGGGAGCGAGTTTGTTTGACATCTTGTTTTGCTTTGGTTCCAGATGGAGTTACCAGAAGCCAGTCGTCCAAATAAGGGAAGACAGTGATGCCTTGGAGGTGGAGATATGCTACAGGCATGAGACATTTTGTGAATAAGGAGAGAGTAGGCCCAAGGGAAAAAAAGGGCAAGAAAGGCCATTAGTGGTTTTCTAGTCTGCCCCCCCCTTTTTTTTTTTTACTCACAGAGGAAGGTCCGTTAACCTAGTGATTCCAAGCCAAGGTCATAATGCCAAAAAGATTGAAGAAAGTATAATTTCCAGAAGGAAAAAGAGAAGCTCCAAAACTGGGGTGCTGCTGCTGCAACGGCGGCAAAAAAGGAAGTGAGGCATTCAGTGCCATGGGCGGAGCCATGGGTGATGTAAGGGAGGTCCTAGCAACATGCGTTTTACGCTCCAGAATATTCTGAGGTTCTTTGCGCAAGCGCACTAAAACCCACTAGTGTGCATTCAGAGACCACGAGGAAGAATCTGAAGTTTCTTTATGTCTGGCCAAAACAATGCACTAGGATTCCCATTAACTCTGTCACCTTGATTTTTGCAAGGCATAGTATTTACATCACACATGATTAAACATAAAGTAACACAATATTTGAGACACCACTTTAGGGAGCAGCAGACTATATTTTTGATACTACTCCCCAGTGTTTATAGAAAACAAGCGTGACAGTTGAGTACACTGGAGATGTAGAAGTGTCTCTATAAGAACCCCATTCTATCAATTACTGTATTTTTCCATGTATAAAATGAATTTTTTTCTAAAATAATAAGAGGAAAAATTGAGGGTTGTTTTATACACAGAAGGCAGTAGCAGGAGGCAGAGACTGAGGCAAAGGAGCAGCAACGCTCGCCACGTCTTGCGACTGCCCATTGACTGCCGCCGCCACCGTCCGATCACCTCCTCCTGCTGCCAGGGCTTACCTCCGGCTCACGTCGCCGCCTTGCCCCCTGCTTGAAGGAGATGATTGCTGGAGCAGATGATCTGGTGGCAGCGACAGCAGTCAATGGGCAGCAGCGAGAGGTGGCCGAGTGCGGCTGCTTCTTTGCCTCCGCCTCCACCACCTCCTCCTGCTGCTGCAGTCTCCTCCAGTGCCACTTGTGGACTCAGCAGCAGCAGGAGGAGGAGGAGATGGAGGGAAAGGAGGAGTCGCGCTTGGCCGCCTCTTGCTGATGCCCGTTGACTGCTCCTCCGCCTCTGGCAAGGGTAAAAATTAGGGGGTCATCCTATACATTGGGTGGTCGTATACCTGGAAATATTACCAGCCCATTCTATCAATTCTGAATGGCAATGGCTTTTCATTGTTCTCAGGCAGAGATCTTTCACATCATGTTCCATCTTCACAAACTTTCAATTGGAGATTCCAGAGACTTTTTGCATCCAAACTAGTGCTACATTTAGTACATTATGAATGAAACCTCTTCCCAAAAAATTATGTCCTGAAAACCCTTCAATGCTATGCTTACAGAAACTCAGAAAGACAAGTGATCAGTGATTTAAGAAAGAGAGTGAACTTTTTCCAGTGGGAGATTCTAGATTCTCTTTGGTCACTCTGGAAGAGATTTGCCATCTCTGTTATAACCACTGTTCACTAGTTCTTTTCCACAGTGTTACAGGAACTCTCCAATGTACTATTTTACACCCATTATTTAAAGAGGTACTTGCCATTTACATTTCAGCGCAGAAGAAAATATACATGCACAGTAGCTATACTTCTTTTCTCCATTTTCTTCACTGGCTATAAATATGTGGTGAGGATTTAGCAGTCAAAGGAGAGATTACATCCCTCCTTCCACCAAAAAAGGAGGTGTCATTAAGTAACTAGGGAAAGAAATGAGCAAGCAGCCCCTTAAAAATGTCATCAACTCAGTTGTCCCCAACCTAGGGCCTCCAGATGTTCTTGGACTACAACTCCCAGAAGCCTTCACCACCACCTCTGCTGGCTAGGATTTCTGGGAGTTAAGTCCAAGAACATCTGGAGGCCCATGTTTGGGGACCACTGATCTACACAATTACAACAACACTATATATGAGCGGCACTTAAAAAAAAATTTAAGTAACTGAGGTGCATACCTTGAGAAATATCTTCTACTGCCCTGCGGATGCCTCTATCAAATGCTCTTGCATCAGCAGGACTCTGAAATGTGAGGCCAAATTTTTTGTCATCAATCTTCCAGTGGTGAAAAGTTGGTGTAACCTTATTGTAAATGAGGTCCTTCTTTAATGTACACTCCAAAACCACCTGAAAAGTAGCCAAGTTAAAGAAAAAATTTAGCATAAGGGACTTCTGTATAAGCAACTTGTTTTAAAAACAAATTCTACTCTCAAACATTGTATTTAAGATTTTTTTATCATGCCTTTTAGAGCTAAAAAATTCTCTCAACAATGCCAGCAATCTGGAAAAAACATACATATAAAGTGATAGCACTGAATTACTGAAATCATGAGTAAAGTATTCAACATTAAAATTATCGACATAAACCCAAAAGCTAAAAAAGCATAAAATGCATCATATTATCAGCCTAATAACCAACCAAAACATTCCAAACAAACAAACAACAGTTATTTAACCAAATGCAGACTGAAACAGAGTTTTCAGATTTTGTATCTTCAGAAAATAAAGGAGCCAATTACATTTCACTATAGAATGAGATATCACTGATAATGCTGCATACTGCATCTATTGATGACTCTGTTAAGTGGGACCTCTGTAGGGATCAGTAGACAGAAGTGAGAGACAGATCTGTATGTCATCTGCACATTGCTGACAATTTACCCTAAATCTCCAAATCTGGTTCACTCCTATTCATATAAATGTTAAACATATAATCACATAATCATAGAATCATGAAGTTGAAAGGGCCCGTAAGGCGATCAAGTCCAACCCCCTGCTCAATGCAAGAATATTAATCAAATAATGGTCAAGATCTGGTCTCACTCCATCCCTGAAGTATTCCATTTATTTATCTGAAATATACATCCTATACTAAATAAGAAAGAGATCCCAAAGCCCCCCCTTTCACCCCTGAAAGCAAAAAGTTATGCAACTGAGGCTGTCATAGTTTGAGCACATCATGTGAAGAGAAGACTCACTGAAAAAGACAATAATAATAAGAAAATCTGAAGGCATGACGAAAGACCAAATATGAGATGGATTGACTCCATAAAGGAAGTTATAGACCTGAGTTTGTAAGAGCTGAGCATGGCTGCTGAGGAGAGGACATTCTGAAGCTCACTCATTTATAAAGTTGACATAAATCGGAGGCAACTTGGAGGTGCATAATAATAACAACAGCAGTGAAGAGCAGATCTCCCAGAGCCACTGATTATGTTCACCTCTCAGAAAGAACCAGAACCATCTTGGCAGGGAGGACCAGAGAGCCACTTTGTCTCCCAAACCCAATCTACCTGAACAGTCAGAGGAATACCTATAAAATGATTAATTATATATTAAACTAGTGCCCTGCTTGTGGGATTCCCATAGGTATCAATATGGCCACATGTGGGAAAAATGCTGGAGCTGGACTAGATGGCCCTTCAACTTGATCCAGCATAGCTCTTCTTTTGTTTTTAATGTTATTTCCCCAAATCAAGCAATTTCATGAGAATCACTATTTATATACAATATTTGCTGGTGTATAAGGCAACTGGGTGTATAAGACAACCCCCGAACATTCCCACTCAGAATGTAGAGTTTGTTATATACTTGCTATATAAGACTACCCCCTCTTCCGCCTGCGTGATTCTGCTTTGGCTGCATCATGGAGAGAGTTCCTTTTGCCCCTTTTGGTTCCTTTTCGGAGAGAGCCAGGGTTTGCTGGAAGAAGGAACAGCAGAGAGGAGGCAGCCATTTTGGAGAGGCGGCAGCCATTTTGAGAGGCAGCAGCTATGTGGTTGCATCTCAGAATGGCTGCCGCCCTCTCTGCTGTTCCCGACAGTCAGCTGTTCAGCGCTAGAGTCAGGCTGTTCCCAGGCTAGGAGCAGGGCTCTACTCGGTCTTACCACCAGGTAAGTGACTTCGCTGGGAGAGAGGGAGGGTTTGCTAGACATGCACCCGGCGTACAAGATGACCCCCCCCCACTTGGAGGCATGTTTTTCAGGGCCAAAAAGTCATCTTGTACGCTGGCAAATACGGTATAAATCATTTGGAAGAAATAGAGTTTCTGTTTTCTTCAGTTGTCACTAAATCTAGGCTGGATTAAAAAAAGTTAATTCATTTTACCAGTTAAACTGTCTGCACAGTTAAAACAAGTGAGGCAACAGCAACTCAGTTATCGATAACAGATTGATAATATGTGAAATCTATCACTTCATGCTTGTGCCTTATTCCAGAACAAATTGATAAGTTTTACTTTTGTTGTGTATATACCAACTACTTCCATTTTATGCTCAAACAAATCAGAGAGGTTAAAAAACAACAAAAAACGACCACTGGTTTCTTTGGACATATGCATGTGCAATGGAGCTCCAATTTGTATTCTTGAAGGCTTTCACGGCCAGGATCTGATGATTGTTGTAGTTTTTTGGGCTGTTTCGCCATGTTCTGGACCAAAACAAGGCCAAACAACCCGAAAAAACTACAACCATCAAGTTCCAATTTGTTTTATTCAAATAAATCAAATTCTAGAGAAGGAAATGGGAGACCAGAATCAGTATGTGGTTTGTCTGTGCTTGCTCTTTTACCAACCGTTCTATGTCCCATGCTAGCCTTCTGCAAATTGTTTTTTTCTTTCAGAAGATTCCAATAATAATCATATGCTGTCAAGTCAATTCTGACCTATGGTCACCTTTCCAGGGTTTTCTATGTAGAGAGTACTCAGTAGTTGCTCAGTCCCTCATTCTGGGACTGTGATCCTTGTCCAAGGTTACATAGGCTGGCTTCTCTAGGAGGCAAAGTAGGGAATCAAACTCCTGACTTTTGGCTCCACAGCCAGAAACCTAATTCACTGGGCTAGGATTCGAAACACTACTCCATTTTCCCTAACTTTAAATAATATCCAAATATGTAGATAGCATTCTGTCAGCAATCAGAGAACAGACTATGCCTTTCAATGAACAAGGATTGTGGCTTGTATCTTTTTCAGCTTAGCTAAATCCAATTTCATTATTTCTTGCTTTTTCTTTAAGGAGTTCAAAGCAGTATACACAATTCTCCTTTAACCATCCCAACAACCTTATCATATGAGATATGTTAGACACAGAGAGGGTTACCAGGGAACTTCATACTTGAAACCAGTCTTGACTGCACCTCCCTAGTCCTAGAACAATACTCAAGTTTATGCTCTTCTCTTCTTCCTTATTGTGTCAAGATTCCCAATTCCATGAAAATTTGCACTTTGGAAGGGGAATGCTGACAATCAAAGAAATGCAAAAATATAGTGTGGGTAATTTTTTAAAACAGCTTTTGCTCTGAAAGCCCTAATTAATGCAGATTTTCCCATGTCTTCTGACTTTATTTGCCCTGCTGTGGTTAAGCAACAATACTAAACAATAAGATGTGCAACCCTCAGTTAAGTGTCTCTTTATTAAACTAGACAGCAGAAGAAATATCAGTTGAAAGTCTACAACATTTCAAAAGCTAAAATACCAAACCTTGCATGTATGCATAATACCACATATTAAAGGAACTCTCCATCTATGTTTACATAACTTAAAACAGCAGCAGACCTGTCCAAGTTAGAATGGAAGGTAATTGTTCAAACTAGACTGGCTGGAGCCAGATCTTGGAAAAGAAGTATAATAAAGGAGGAAGTGTGCAATTATGTCAAGGGTGCTTTGTGAAGAGAAAGGAAAAAATTGTTTTACATTCCAACAGAGATCTAAACAAGCTAGGTAAACAAGTCCAGAAATAGTCTCTGTCACTCTAAAGTGAAATCCATATCCTGGGTGCTATCACTTTTCAAGTTATCTGACAGGCTCTTTGTCAGTAACATGTCAAGCAAGCATTCTTATTCATGAACTTATATCCTGTCTTTTGCCACAAGTATCTCCAACTAAAATGAAGTGTTTAATGGATTTTACTGTATGTCATAACATGACATGTCTTCCAGGCTGGGCAAGCAAATCTTTTGCCTAATTTTCTATTTGCTTCCTTCCTAACATAAATCCTTCATAAATGTCCAGAAGCTTATACTAGGAATCAGCTCACCTTATTTTTGGCCTTATTTTTCTTAAAATGTTTTCAGCTACCATAATGACAAAGAAAAGTCAGGTTACCTACATGTAACCATGGTTCTTCTAATGGTCCTCTGTGAATTCACACAAATGGGTTTATCCTGCGCCTGCACAAGACATTCGGAAGATTCTAGAGCTTAGAAAAAAAGAAACAATTTAGTTCCCCCCCCAGGGTATAGGCTCTGCCTTCTTCACCTTCCTTTCAGTTCCTTCGTCTGCCATTACCATATGGAATAGGTATTAAACAACGGCATCGTGACGAACAGCGGGGAGGAAGGGACGGATGTGTGAATTCACAGAGGACCACTAGAAGAACCATGGTTACAGGTAAGTAACCTAACTTTCTTTGTAGTGGTCTCTGTGAATGCACACAAATGGGTAAATAGCAAGCAGTACTCACCGGATGGAGGGCCGTCACGAAAGAAGAAATGACAGGATTACCCTTCCAAATGCAGCATCATTCTTGGCCCTGACATCGAGGTGATAGTGCTTTGCAAACATCAAGAGGTTTGACCAAGTAGCTGCTTTGCAGATATCTTGTATCTGGACACCTCTGTGTAGAGCAGTCAAAGTGGAGACTGCTCGAGTAGAATGGGCCTTCAAGCATTCTGGTATTGGCTGACCCTCAAGTTGATATGCCAGCTGATACGGTTTGATATCCACCTTGATATGGTGTGTGGAGAGGCAGGGTTACCCATACTGTATTAGGTCCATGGTAGCAGAGGAAAAGACAAGGAGAGCTTCGAAAATGCCTTGTCCTGTCAAGACAGAAGGCGAGAGTCCTCCTAATGTCCAAGGTATGGAGTTTACGTCCATGTTGTGTGGACGGTAAGGGAAGCAACGTTGGCAGAGATGAAAATCCGACACCACTTTGGGAAGGAAGGACATGTCCAGCTATAAAGTGACTTTGTCGGAATGGACTTTGTAAGTATGGAGGGTCTGATCTCAACGCCGAAAGTTTGCTAGCACGCTGAGTGGATGTTATGGCCACAAGAAAGGCAGTTTTAAGAGAAAGTACTTTCTCATTACAAGTTGCCATCAGTTTGAATGGTGGTTTGGTAAGTGCTT